TTTTAAGATTTTTTTTATTATAGATTTGCTCATGAATTTTTTCTTTCAGAATGTTGACTATCCAACATACAAAGTAATTTAGCTTCTAAGATTAAAAATACTTTTCTTTATCTGAAATTTGTCAAGTTTCATTTGTGTAATATCTATATCCTTCTAGATAATAATCAAACATTTTTTAAAATAAATCTTTATATTTAATCTGTTATTTTATCAATATTAACTCTATATGGTGTTGATCGATTTGACCAACCCCGTAACTATCATGAAAATTAGGAAATAAATCTAAATTACCTTTTTAGTTCTAGAGTAACTATAAATTGTAATAGGAAACCTAAATAGCTTAAATCTCTTAACAGACTAAATCTATTTATATTCATTAATTTTTGTTTTATTGACCTTTGAACAGTGTCTGACTAAAAATACCATGATATTAGTTATAAATTACACGGCACACGTGCATCAACATGACCTTATCAAACAGCATAATGCAGAAACTTCTGGTGCGTATACTCCATGAAGGTTTTTAATTATTTTTTTCATTATCTTACCTAACAACTTTCTATTTTTTATGATTTTACTTACTTTTATAATAATAAAGAGTTAAAACAAATGAAAAATAAAAAACCTCGTAATTAAATATCAAACATTTTTATTTTCAGAAAAGTTTTATATTATATTTGTTATTTTTTTGTACTGTAACATTATACTTACTTCTCCAGGTTGTAAGTAAGTAATAAAAGTATAACGAAAATAAAGGTTGCAGAATAAAATGTACAGTATTGTTAGTATTGATCACAAAATTTCAAAGTACTTATGGTCAGAGTTTATGCTCTCACCTTTTCACACTTATTTTCTGTAGTTACTTTATTGCTAGTAGATGAGTTCGAAATTAGAAGAAACAAAAAGAATAGTACTCTGTTCCTTTCAGTACGGACAGTAAAGTTCGAAGTAAATCTCCTGAGAGTTTCTTCTAATTATTTTACACCTATTTCCTATTGTTATTCAACTGTTAGTGGCTGAAGTAGAAACCTGCTAAATATAAAGCAATGAATCACCATTCACATATACGTGTTACCACACTTTGAGTACTTTCCCTGTTTTGAAAACACAGTAGGATATGATATATCAACTTGTTGACAGTATAATGGTTACAACAACAATTGTCTCAAGTATTATAAAATGTTTATGACTTTCTAGAATGTCTGGACTGATCCAATAAGGCAAAAAGCGGAAGTATCCTACAGAAACTATTCGGATCGCTGCTCTTAGAACACAGTGGGATAGAATTTGCCAGCTTCTTTACAGTACAGTAGTTGCAAAAAGAATTGTCTAAAGTACTTTATAAAAGTGAGAGAAAATATTTATAATATGGCTCTGTACAAAGTTGTATCCTATCCAATAAACTCGCTAGTTATCTTACTTGGTGGTCAGGATTTAGTATCGGTATAGGTGTAAACGTGTGTAAATGTTTACAGATATCCTGTTTCCTATATTACCATATACTTACACTGTAACCAATAAATATGTTGTTTCCAGTAGTATAAATATGGATCATTTTGGTTGAGAAAATTATTCACCAGCAAACTGTAAAGATGTTCATTTTCATGTGTTAAGATCAGTTGATCAGTCATAAACTTATTTCTTAGACTTTCAAAAATTACATAAATAAACTTTTCCTGAATTGTCAAGTCTTTAGTTTTGTATAATTTGTTTTTATTTTATTGAGAGAGAGAGAGAGTGTGTGTGTATACATAACTAATGTTTTTAATTAAATATTTAAATGTCAGTTATTGGAAAACAATGATCTCTACTACTTACGATGCTACAGTCTTTGTTTGCACTCATGAGCCATACTTGCTAAGCTTCGTCCAAATTCACACGTAGAGATGGAAAAATAACTTTGTAG